GAGTATATATCATCTTATGACTAATTTTATTTAACGTCAGAAAGGCAAAGTTAGTTGAGTACTAGGAAATTGATCAATATATATATCGTTCATTCCCCTAATAAACTGAAAGGAGAAATCAGAACAGTATGATAGCTATAGTCAGGGGAGGTTCCAGGCTCCCTGCCCCACCCAAGGAAGGGTGGAGCTGAGCTGGGAGGGGGAGCTGGAGAAGACCGAGAAGACTCAGGAAGAAGACAGGGAGAGGACCCGAAGGAGAGACATGGGCAGAGAGACCAGTGAAAAAGAAGCTGCCTTGCTTCTTGACTTTGGACTTGTACAGGGACTTGGAGGACATGAAAGGAGACACTTAACGGGACAGAGATGTGGGTGAGAGACCCGTGGGGAGGCCGACCATGGCAGCCTTTATCTTGACTTTGACTTTGCTCCTGTCCTTCCAGACTGGACTGGCCTCCTCTGCCCCTTTCCTGTGGTCCCCGCCAGGAGCTGCCTTAGGCTGTCTTGGGCTTTTGGGTCCAGCTGCCCCACTTTGGGCCAGCACTGTTTGGCTGGACATTTCCCCATGAGGGTCACTGAGTGTTACATGGGAAAACTATTTTTAACTATATTCTTGCTTTTCTTCTCTTATTTCTATTGTACACCGTTTCCACTAAAATTCTTTTTATTGATGTTCTTATGCACAAAGAGTATGCTTTGTCTTCAGGTGGTGCATGGCAGAACCCACTTAGAGAAGGCAGGTTGGGGCCCCTGGGTTACTACTGTATCAACAGAGGCTGTGGGGAGCCATTCTTCTCCTCTGCCGGCTATGTTGAGAGCTAATCGACACCTAGCATTGTATTACTTTTAAGTGGTATACACGGTGACAGTTGAATACATGTGTAGGCTGTGAAATGGTTACCACAGTTGAGTTAATATCCACCACTTTCCATAGATAGAAACATTTTCTTTTGTGATGAGCTTTTAAGATTTACTCTTCTAACAATTTCAAATATATACAGTATTGTCACTTTAGCCATCGTGTAGTACGTAACATCCCCAGAGCTTATTTATCTATTAGTTGGAATTTTGCTCCAAAGAACATCTTGCCCTCCCTTCATGTCCCACCTTGGACAGCCACCAATCTGTCTTCTGTATCTGTGACTTTGGTTTGTTTTTAGATTCCATATGTAAATGGGGCCATAAGACATTTGTGTTTTTCTGTCTGGCTTATTACACTTAACATAATGCACATCCACATTGTTTCAAATTCCTTCTTTTTAAAGGTCTGAATAATATTCCATATATTATCCATCCCAAGGTTCTTCTTTCTTTATCCATTTATTCAAGGAAAGCGGAGGTTGTTTCTCTGTCTTGACTATTGTAATTAGAATTTTTAAAAAGTAAAATGTTTAATGATAGAGTATATTTCGGAATTCTAAAACATAAAGTACCAAAATATTGTGACTCGTGTTTAGGAGGGTCTTGAACTTTCCTTGAGGCACCAGCCCTTCACTGGGCTGACTAGGAGGCGTTCTGTAGTTTGTTAAAAAGCAAATAGAACTTAATTAAAAACAGGAAACTGACCCCCTTCCCCCTTTGCCATAGCTAAGAATGGTGCAGAAGGCATCACTGTCCAAGACAACCTAAGGCTAAATGGATGCCCCTGAGTGTCCCTCGGGGTCACAGAGCACCCCCTGAGTGGAACCTCTCTAAAATTCACCTCCCCACAGCCTCACTATCTATCTCAGTCATTTTGTTGAATATAGTTGTCTGTAGCTGACAACTCAGGATTCCTGGCTAGTAACCCTATAGTCAATACCACCTTATAAATTAAAGAAAGTGCCAGAAGTCATGTTTACATGCCTTGTCACATCAGCAGCAAGGTACACCAAGAAAGATGCAAATTTTGACAGTTTCAGGGGGCTTGGCCATCCCTTGCCTCTTCATGTGAACCAGTGACAGTCTAGAGATTCCGAGACTATGATATATATGATCGTGTGATTTTTCTTCTCCCCGCTCCTTTCCCCTTCACCTACCTCCCCCTCCTCTCCACTCCTCTATCTCTTCCTCCTAATGCTCTCCTCCCCAGCAGCTGTAGAGGGACTTCAACTTCACTTTCTCAGGTTGTAAGGCTGCTTTTTACTGTCACTTTAGTTATTTCAGGTGTCACCCAGTTCCTTGCCACTTCTCCAGCAGAGATGCCAGGGTCTGTGGTTTGACAAAGGGGTGGAATTCTGAACATGACAGGAAGAACCCTGGCTTCTTGGGCTGTTTGGTGGCATCAGAGTCCTTCGTCCCGCTTCCCTCAGCTGGTCCATAACTCTTCCTTGCCTGATCATAGGTATTTTATCTGCCTCTACCATCAAATTCAGGCTTTCGTTTCCCAGACATGTTTTTTCACTGGTCAGAGAACTTCTTAGGAAATTCTAAGAAACTGACAGCCTCTCTGCTGCCTGCACAAAGATGTGAGCACCCACCTGCTCTTTGGTTTCTTGGGGTCACCTTCAGGCAACCTGACAGGGTCGCTCGGGCCACTGGGCAGCACCGGGAACCTTGGCTCAGTGCTCGCCAGCCTCAAGCTCGCAGCCCCGGAGAGACACCTGGCAGGTTTATTTTTAATTTTTTGAGAAACATTCATACTCTTTCCCATAAATGTCTGCACCAATTTACATTCTCATCAACAACATGCAAGGGTTTCCTTTCCCTATATTCTCATCAACACATATTATTGCTTTTTTTTTTTTTTTGGACAGATTTGAGGTGATATCTCATGGGGATTCTGATTTTCACTTCCCGCATCACTGGTGACATTGAATACCTTTTCAGGTACCTGGTAGCCTCAGACTTTCCATGTTCCATGCTTTCTTTGCAAAATGACATTGAGTTTCTCTGGCCATTAAATTTTTTTTTAATGCTTTTGCATTGCATGAGTTCTTCATATATTTTGGATATTTACCCCTTACAAAATGTATGAATTGCAAATATTTCCACCCATTCAGTAATTTCCTGTTATACTGCCCAGGATTTTCATTGTTGTGCAAAGCTTTTTTGTTTGATGCAATCTGCTTGTTTATTTTTGCTCTTGTTACCGTTACTTTTGTATTTAATCCAGAAAAATCATTGTTAAAATCAATATCAAAACTTTGATGAATTTGGTGTATGGTATAAGTTCAGTTTCATTTTTACATGTGTCTGTTAAACTTTCTTAACACTTTGTTGAGGAGATAATTTTTGCCCTGTCGTATGTTCTTGGTTCCTTTGTCATGAATTAATTGATCATATATGCATTGTTTTCCCCCTGAGCTCTCCAATGTGTGCCATTGATCTGCCTGGTTTATACCAAAACCATACTGTTTTGATCACTGTGGTTTTGCAATATAGTCAAAGTCAGAGACCATTATGCGTCTAGCTTTGTTCTTCTTTCTCATGATTGTTTAGTCTATTTATGGTCTTTTGTGGTTTGATACAAAATTTAGGATTTTTCTCAATTTCTGTGAAAAATGCCATTGGAATTCTGACAGCAAATACATTGAATCTGTACATTTCTTTGGGTCATAGGGACATTTTAATAATACTAATTCTGCCAATCCATAAACATTTGTGTCCTTTTTACTTTCATCAGTGTCTTGTTGTTTTCAGTGTACAGATCTTTCATTTCCTTGTTTTAAGTTATTCTTAGGTATTTTGTTATTATTTTTTTAAAGATTTATTTATGCATACAGAACTGGGGTATAGGCCAGAGGTGCAGGGGCAGTGAGAGGCTTCGCCAGAGATAGAGTGGGGAGCAGAACAGACTGACTGATGAAGTACACTGCTGAGGGGAGCAGTGGGGAGGTCAGGAGAAGTCTGCTGTGCCATGTGGATCACCTCCTGGGCGCGGATTGATCTCATGTTAAAAAGGCTTTAGCTTTTTAATGCTGTGCTTTAACCCACTGCACCACCAGGGAGGGCCTGGGATTAATTCATTTTTTAAGGTTGTCTAATTTGTTGGCATTAATTGTTTATAGTAGTCTTTTATGACCCTTTGTACTACTATGGTGTCAGTTGTAAAGTCTCTCTCATTTCTGATTTATTTATTTAAATTCTCTTTTTTTCCTTGGTGACAAAAGCTAGCTAACGCTTTGCCCATTTTATTTATATTTTTAAAGAAAACTGCTTTTCCATGTGTTTGTATGTCCATTGTTTTCCTGGTTTCCATTACATTTACTTCTGCTGTGCTCTTTGCTCTCTTTTTTCTCTCTACTAACGTTGACCTCAGTTTCTCCTCCTTCTTTTGGACTTCTCTGTTGATGCATTGGTCACTGCAAGCTCCCCAAACTGCCTCCTTTTGAGTTTCCGTGGAGACTTTGTGCTTTGTGACAAATGAATGGCTGATGAATTCACTGGCTATTGGAGGTTGATTCAACCTCCAGCCCCTCTCCCTTTCCCAGAAGCTGTGGGGTGGGGGAGCACAGGATCAGGGACTGAAAATTCCATCTAGATGCTTGGGAACCTTGGCAACAGGCCCCCGTACTTTGGTGCTTTTCAAAAGGATGCTTTCCTCTCATTCACATAACTGAAGACACTTCATGGTTCTCCTCACTTATAAAACTCCATTTTGGGAGCTCTGTGCCAGAAATCTAAGACCTGTGTGTGTGTGTATACTTATACTCATAGCATAACAGAAGTAGTTTTTTTAAAAAAGATTTATTTTATTTATGCATACAAAAGCTGGGGTATATGCCAGAGGTGAGAGGATTCACCAGAGGCAGAGCGGGGAGCAGAACAGGCAGATGGACTGAAATCCATTGCTGAGGGGAGCAGCAGGAGAGACAGGAGAGGTCTGCTTTGTCAGTGGATCAGCTCCCTGGTTGGGGATCGAACTCCTGCTGCAGTGGCTGTGGATAGCCTCATAGTGCTGAGACTTGCCCCTTGTGCCACCAGGGAGGACCACAGAGGTAGTTTATTGGTAAAAGAATTTAATAAAGAAAAATAAAAGAAAAATACTCTAGAAAACAAGTCTGGGCCAGGAAGTACAATGGCTAGGGCTGTACCCATTGAACCCCAAAAAAGGTCTCATCAGCATTTGGGGATGGCAGCAGTGGCAGAGTGAGGTTGGTGCAAAGTATATCCCCTTGGGACAAGGGTGTCAGGCGCTGGGAGGCGACAGTGCAACCCCCATGGAATTTGATCCTCAGCAGACTGATGCTCCGGGCAGTGGGGTAACAGATGCCCACAGTCAGGGTGGCTCTGTGGGGCCTGGTGGTCTGTGTCGAAGAGGAACAGTTGATCAATGTCACCTGCACGTGCAGCCTGTAGATGCCATTGCGCTGGACACGCAGCTGCCCGTCGTCTAGCTGGGGTCCATGTAAGAAGGAACGGCCCAGGGCTGGACCTCCCTGCCAGTGCAGCCTGGGGTCCTGCCGTGGTCCTGGAGGCAGAGGGGTGGGGTGTGTGTATAAGGATGGAATCTCAGGGAAAATGAGTGCTATAGACCAAAGGCCCAAAATCCCTGTGTTGAAACTTAATCGCCAAGTATAAGGCATCAGGAGGTGCACTTTGGGAGGGGATTAGGGCGTAAGGATGGCGCCATCCTGAGTGGGATTAGTGCCCATATAATAGAGGCCTATGTCCATAGATGTATGAATGGATAAAGAATATAAGTTCTGAGATGGCGAGAAATGCATTTTTGGGTGAATTTGTTGGGCAAAATCATAGAATGTGATGCTACAAACTAGGCAGCTCAGCCTACTAGGACTGCGGCTGTAGATGTGACCTGTCATTGACAGAAATATCACTATGTTGCACATACCTGTCTATATACAATGGAATATTAATTGGTCATAAAAAACAATCTTGTCATTTTGGACACCATGAATCGATTTTGAGGGCATGGTACTAGGTAAGATACGTGATTCTTGGAAAGACAAATACCATATGACATCACTTACATGTGGAACTTAAAAAAATGCCCCCAAGCCAAAGAGATCGGTGGTTTCCAGAGTTTGGGGATGAGATAGGCCAAATGGGTGAAGGTGATCAAAAGGTATGGACTTTCAGTGGTCAGTTAAAAATGTCCTGCAGGGGTGAGGGTGACTCCAATATCCTAGGTGTGGTGACATGTGCCCTATAGTGCCCTGAGTGGGCATGGCCAGGAAGAGTAGAGCTTAAAAGTTCTTAGCATGGCCTTTTGCAGCAACATAGATGGAGCTGGAGGGGGTCACGCTTAGTGAAATAAGCCAGAAAGAAAAAGAAAAATACTGGATGGCTTTGCTCATAGCAGGAGCATAAAGGACCCGGGGTGGGGGAGGAAATAATAATAATAATGAACAACTATAGACCAGAGACATTTTACGGAAGTGGAGTGGGGAATGGGATCAAAAATGGATGAGTGGGGGGAGCGCACTGGACTCTGGTGATGGCACACGGGTAACTTGGTGATGGGAAGCCCCCGGGGATGACAACCGAGATGGAAAAAGGCACAAAATGGTGTAAAAATAAACCATTGTAATAAAAAAAGAGCTCCGATCGCATGAGAAAAATACTGGTAACTGTGTATGGTGATGGGTGTTGACTAGATTTACTGTGGTGGTCATTTGTCAATATATAGAAATACTGAATCATCAGTGTACACCTAAAACTAACATATCATATATCAATTCTATCACAATAATAAACGGAGACACCAGTGAGCTCTTTCCCTTCTGGCCTGGGAAAGGGCCCATGTGAACCGTCACCCAGTGAGAGGGTTTTCAACAGACCGGAGTGGGCCTCACCCTCTACCCAAGGGCAGCATCTGGGGGAGGCCCTCCAGCCTCTAGAAACGACTGTTACTACAAGCCACCTGGTCCGTGGCTTCGTCTCAGCAGCCTAATGGCGTTTCTCTCCTCTCTCCTTCCCTTTCTTTTGCTTGCACACACACATGCACTCCTGTTACCTGTGTGATTTAACTGCAGTTCAGCGATGTCCCACTGCAGGAAAGAATAGAAAACAGGGCGGGGAGGTAAACACCAAGGTCTTCCCTGGCTCAGTCACCCGACACCCCTTTATCCCATGATTCAGACCATGTGCTAAGATCGCTTCAAGAGAAGTGGATTGAACCAGTCCAGAGCATATAGACAAGAACTTCAAAAGAATTCCTTAATTTCCTGGCTTAACGGGGATGGGGACACAGCTTCGTCTCTGCACTGGAGGCTCGCGCCTTTCGCACGCACCCCCAGCCCCAGCCCGGTGCTGCAGCAGGCGGCGGGAGGTGCTCAGGACGCCTAGGAGGAGAGTGCCCGCTGTTCATCCCGCCCATGGAATTGCCCAGAATCCCCTCCCTCCCAGCTCTGTGAAGCTTCCCAGAGCCTCTGAGTCAGCCTGCTGGGGAACACCAAAGACAAATCATTTTTCTTTCCACGCTCACGTCCGGTGTACCCTCCACAGATGCATCCTCCCCTCCCCGGGATCCCCACCTGGGATTTACCTCCTGGGCAGAGCCGACTCTCCGCAGCAACGACCTGCAGACTTGCCCTGCCTTTTGCTCCGCTCTGGCTTTGTTTTAAGAACTCTACGTTCGGCAGTCTGCCTCCGAGTCTGCTCTGGCTCACGGTCTCTCTGCCCTCATTGATTCTCTTCCCAGTTCTCACGTCCCCTCGGCGCCCTGCGCCCGCGCCCGCGCGCCGGGCGGGTCCCAGCCCGGGCGGGTCCCAGCCCGAGCTTCTCAAGCTCTTCGAGCAAGTGGGCTGTGTGTTTCTCACCCTCCCTCCTTTACTCACCCCTGGTTGCTCGCACTGCTTTTGCCCTGTCAGGCACCGGCAGAGGCAGAAGATTGCCGCACCTAGGAAAACCAGCGGCCAAGCAACCCGCAGGAAGGTCAGCCAGGACAGGCGGGGCAGCGGACAGCTTGGGCGCTCCTCGGTCATCGTGGTCCTCGGCTGGCGCAGCATCTGCTAAGCGCTGGTGGCGCGAGGGATGCGCAGAGGACAGCCAGGAAGAACACAGAAACCTCAGCCTTTCTGCAGCTGTGGGGCCTGAGCCTGTCTCAACTTGCCTAGGACCCGCCCCGTTCTGGGGATGTCCAGCCAAGGGGAAGAACTACTCAGCCGTGCAGGGAAATCCCCTCAACCTTCTGCAAATCCCCACTGTCCTGGAGTAGCTAGGGTTAAATTCTTAATCTTAAGGTTACTATAATCTTCCTCTTTGATTCTCCACTTTCATTCTGGCTTCCATCCATCCATCCATCCATCATCCATCCATCCATCCATCCATTCATCCACCCATCCACCCACCCACCCATCCACTCACCCATCCACCCACCCATCCATCCATCCATCCATCCATCCATCCATC